GGGATGGACGAGGATCAAGATCATAAAAGTCAAAGTTTTCAACCGATTTGCAAAAAATTTGAAAGATACAAACAAATTTTAACCGAAGTTGAACCCTGATAGTTCAAAATCAGCCATTCCTAGCTACAGTGACAATGACCCCGCAAAAAAGCGAACAGCGTCTCTATTCACGGATTTCTCTCAAGTGTTCAAAATTTGTTCATCTCATCGAAATTATAGTCTCCATTCAAAATTAGTCAGCGAGCAACATCGTAACTCGATAATTCAAACAAATTCAGTATTAATAGGAAGTTTTGTGGAATAACCCCCCCCCCCCCCCCCATCACTCTCTCTCTCTCTCTCTCTCCCTCCCTCCCTTCCTGACAGCGTAGACCCACTCTCTTCTCGTCGCCGACTTTGTCGGACCTAAAATAACCGGAAAGAAGCCTGGTATGGGGCTAGACGGGAAACTTTGTATGGTACGATATAGAAATTTCGAATACCGTAATATGGGGTGAATAAGGACAGGCGGTTGAATAGAGACAATTATGATTTATTTCCGTTTTTTAGTCATAAACTACTTGGTAAGTCATGAAGTCATAAACTTGGTAAGTTTGGCACCTACAGAACTCGTTCTTTTTTTCGAAAATACATAGTTTGGCATCCTCTCTAGGTGACCGGTGTAATCAGTGATGTTTGGTGAAAGCATGAAATGGCAACAAAACCTCAAAACCAGACCTTGAATAAAAGCGGTAAAACAAGCGTGATAACGTCCCATGCATGTGGATCACGAATTAAAAGTTTTTTTTTTTTTTTATGTTATCACATTTCACATCATAAGTTACCTTGGTCATCACCAAAAATGATGAAATTTGCTCGATATTTAGGTGATTTAAAAAATATTTTTCTCCAAAAAACGAGCGGTTGGGAGAGTCTGAGTATCATAGATTCAGACAAAGGGAGGGGGGAGGGGGCTTTCTTTGACATTTTCCGCCTCTTATCACATCCTTTGGAATAATTTTATGTTCTTATTTAATATTCCGAGACTTTTGAATATTGCCCTGGTTTAATTGAAGAATTCAGCTTTCAGATCTCACAATGGTCAGGGCGTATAGGTCAATTGTCATCTGATTGCTTCTTATTATTTAATTTTTGTTAATTAAAGACATGTTTTTCCATTTCAGATTCGAATTTAACTTTTTTTCAAAACTCAGGTAGTGTCTCCATTCACTCTCCAGTTAGGAGAATGGGGAGACGCCTTATTTACATTGAAATCTGCTGGTGTCCCTATTCATAAAATAGTAAGACAGTACCTAGGTAAAAAGAAATTTAAAATAGTTAACATTTTCGTATCGTCACGATTTTGGGGGAAAGTAAAGGATAGGAGAGGTCACAACTTCCTGTTAAAAAAAACGGAACTCTCGAAATCAGTAGGCCACAGACGTGCATTCGTATAAAAAACTGTCCCCATTCACCCCATATTACGGTATTCTAAAAACAGCCCAAAAGATTTTTGAAAATGTAACTGCAGTGTGTCATCTTGACAGTATTATCATTGTTTTTTTTTTTTTATTGTTCAGCGATTGGATAACTTCTACCGTCCTGCAACCGGACCACACTATTACCACCACCACCCTCATGCAAGCATTGCCATTGGTGCCAAGCCAAACTCTGACTCAGGAATCCTGTCGAGTATCACATCTGGTCTCAATAATTTAGTCAGTAATATCTTTGGTTGAACAAAAGTTGAACCGTCGCAAAATCTCAACATGTTAGTTAATTTATTTAATTATATAATTCATTAAAGTATCAAGACTGGTTTGATTGCGTTAAAAGCAATAATTGCACCTTGCTGGTTTAATTTTCTCTCCGTTTCGATCTGTCAAACTCTTTCAATAAGAACTGAAGAGTGGAAACGAAAATGATAAGCACTTAGAGGGGTCGTTAAAGCATGGATTTTTGGCCTGCTGAGGAGTTGAGTAAATAAGAGACCATTACTCATAAGCTGATGAAGTTACCTACCCTAGTAGCAAATTTATATAAAAAAATTTTTAACGAAAGTATACCGCTCATATATATATATATATATATATATATATATATATATATATATATAAAATATATATATGTTAAGTAACGGGATGTTCAAAGGAAACCGCCGTCGTATAACCATTATTAATCAAATAATTTTATAAATTGCGCAAATAACCTTTATAATTAGTTTATATAAAAGTTATTTGTAAAAATGTTTTATATAACCGTTTTACATATTTTATATAAACACGCTTTTCAAATATATTTTATATAATCGTTATACTTTGATTATACATTCTTCATATAAATACGCTCTTTATAACATAACAGTTATACTTCGTTTATATACTGTGAATTTAGCTTTGCTACTAGGGTAGAGGTAACATCAGCTAAGTTGACGGTTGTTTACTTTCGGTTTGCAAGCGCCAACGACGAATTTGAGCCTCTGAACAAAGCGGCGTTTGCTAATTATCCACATTGAAAACATCAGTCTCATGATCGTATCGTAAAAAAACTACTTATCAGTTATGATTAGCGACTTTTTCGTGGTTGTGATATCTGTGCGGCTAATAATTAAAGTGTTACACGGTTTGAAAGTATTAAAAAACTTATCTAGGCTTGTGTTCTTGCTTCTGAGAGAGTCTGATGTTTTCATGTGGATAGTAGTGACGCGAAAACGCCCGCAAACCGAAAGTAAACAACCATCAACTTAGCTGACGACACCTCTAGGAGGAAACACGATCAAACTGTATAACTTTTGATACTTTGAGAATCCTCCAAAAACTTTCATAATAATAATATGAACTCAATTTCCAAAAAGTCTCTGTGGTTCATGAATTTTTTTATCAAAGGTATAGGTTCTCCAACTGGAAGAGAGATGGCCGTATCGATCATTTGACAAAATGGGTTTGCTAATTTAAACTATCTAATCTCCAATATCTGCAAAGGAAACTTTTCCTGGTATTAATGAAGGAATATTTTTTAGGAACTTAATGGAAAAATACAAGGACGTCCATTCCTATATTTTATACCTTTCCTTGCCTGTCTGTAAAACTTAACTCTGTCTTGTAACTGCCAACTTAAATCTATTACATTTTCTTATCCACTCGCAAGACCAAATTCTGTATCTTGGGTCACGGGTTGTTGAATCGACCGAGTGGTATCTTCAATCTATTGTCACCGGCAGGGATACCGAACTGAAGTAAGGTGTCAAAAGTTACAGAATCAGGTTACAGAAATGAAAACTTCCTCATATACATGAAATTTGCAATCTCAATGGCTATTCCCTCTAGGCCATTTTACCTATTCATGGAATCAACGAAACGTAAGTCCCCGTTTAATAAGCGACACATGTAGGGATGCCAGACAAAAGCAGTATATATTGTTATTGTAAGTAATAAAATCAGGTTGTAGGTATGAACTTCCTCACATATGGAGGTGATGTAGGGGAGACCGGGGACAGTTGTAACGGATTTGGGGAAAATTGCTCTAAATTGCTTACTATGTATTAAAATTTCGTAATTTTTTTATCACAGCCTCTTTGGAAGGCTTACTTTTGAAAATGATGGTCCCTTTAAATTTTCTTGAAATTTTTTACGCATTTTAAGGACTTTGAAAAAATTTCGATTTTGTTATAACCGTCCCAGGCGTGGGGTCGATTGTAACAAGGGCAGGGGCGGTTGTAACAAAACTTAAGAATTGGAGTAACTAACTTTAAAAAAATATTTTACCACTATTTTTGGCCTGCAAAAAATTTTGACCTCCCACACTCCCAAAAAATAAGAACTACCTACCAAACCGGAGGGGGGGTGTCTGCGTCTGAAATTCAGATTTGCTTGAAAAATGAAAAAGCAAGAAGCTTTTCTGCAAGAAAATTGATCAAAATGGTAATCATATTTATGAGTCTTGGTACCCGAGACCCCCCCCCTCCGTATGGAAATTTCTCAATTAAAATATATTAAAAGGAAAAGTGATAAAAATAAAAGCACAAAATAATTAAATTAATTAATTAAATTTAATTATTTATTAATAAATATTAATTAATAATTATTATTATTAATTAATAAGTAATTATTGTTATTATTCATTATTAATTAATTATTTATTTTTAATAATATAATAATACTTTTTAATAATTTAATAACAATTTTTAATAATTTAATAATCAGCTTTAGCACCAAAATTAAAACCAATACTTCGGTACCTAGCACCAAATATTGCAGTGAAATAGCACGTTAACATTGACATAACCTGTAAGTTAGCTTGTTACAACTGTCCCGGTTTCAGTGTTACAACTGTCCCCCGCGCCACTTATTTATGAAAAAAATCAGTGCTGCCACTCACTGTGCAGAAAGGATAAAACATTCTGACCAAAATGTACCTTAAGACACGATCTAATAACTCATCTAAAAAGTTCACCGTTGATATTAAACCCCTGGTCACATACCCGAAAATAATTATTTTAAACTTGTGCCGGAACAGCCCTGAAAATGGTTCAATTTCTTTAATGTGTCGTCATTTGAACAAAAATTGCTCCATCAAGTTGAAATCCAGGACAGTTAGTCACTGTTAGTATAGGAACAATACGCTATACATAGTTTACGGTCTCGCCACTCACAGCGCCACCAATTGGACCTGTTACATTTGACCCCTGTTTCAACTGTCCCCGGTCTCCCCTAACTTGCAACCTCATCTCCTACATCGTCTGGTTGAACATTTATTATCATCTTACGGTAAGTAACGGAGAAACCTTGTTTTATTGTCTGAAAGAGAGTCATCAAGGAAGGTTATCTACCTCCTTACTGAAAAGTAGACAATAAAGTTCAGATGAAATTTTGCTCTTATTGAGCGTTCAAATGCCAAAAGTTCTGAGGAGATGTGAGTCCTTAAGGAAAGTTATTTATCTTCTTTACTGAAAAGTAGCCAACAGGTCAGTTAAAATTTTGCTCCTATTGAGCGTTCAAATGCCAATAGTTCAGTCTGCAGAGATAGCACATAAGGTGTCACGCAATTAATCTTACGATCTGACGGAACCACATTTACCAGAGAGTGAATGAGCAAATCGACGTTGTCAGTCGGCAATCACATAACTCATTTGTGGTGTCTGAAAATCTCCGCCTCCATGTTGTTTTCTTAAATAGGAGCAAATTGACATCATTCCTTGAAGTTTTTGTGAAATTTTCTTGGCACAGAGAAGAAAAATCACGACAGCTTTAAGGAATTGGGGTTGAGTAGTTTTCCGTTGAAAAAATAAAGTATGACAGGAAGTCTGCGACGTCGCAAACCGAGTTATGTGATTGCCAACTTACACGGTCAAAATGAGTGATTAAACCTAGGATTTTTGGTACAAATAAGAGGCTAATACATACCTTTGTTATGGAGCAATGTGAGAGGGAGAATGTAGTATTCTCAGAGTAGAATGTTATAGGGAAGATTTATGAAACATTTGGTGCCGCAAAAAATCTTTGACTTCGAAAGTACACAATTTTCGGCAACTTCAGATATCTTAGATTTTTTGACACCTAGTTAAATTCAATGCTCATAAGTTTTGAAGGAACAAGGATGTGATGAAGACATCAGATATTCTATGATCAAGGATACACTTGAGCGGTCCTTTTCATAATTTGCAGCGATGAGGTGGTGACTATCAAAAAGGTACAACTGCCTGCGCTTGAAACTGCGCAAAATGATCCTGCCATTATTTTATGCTTTTCGGCATGAGAATGCAAACGAAACGATAGAGAGGATAACAAAGCTGTATTTTGCCTGTTGGCTTACTTGAACCATTTGTATTTTAGTAAAATGACTATTAATAATTACTCCCCCGTTCCTTTTTTTATTCTAGCTTTGAACTATTTTTTTTATTATTATTCAATGAAAACATAAAAAAATGAAGTGTTTAAAAAGGTAAAATATTTTTTTGGTATATTTTCAACTTAAAAACACTCGCCCTAAGGTTAAAATCGAGTTTAGAGCTTCTAATTTGTTTGTTTGTTTTTAATAGGTGATTCGATGGACGCCATATTTTTTGTTAGAACGGCATGCCATACATCGCATCAATTGGTTCCATTTTTTCAGCTACTCGTCATTTTTCTCCAATTTTGAGATCGCAATCCTGTTGTCAGGAGACTAAAACACTCGCTTACTAATTTTAACAAAGAAATTTAACGTAATAAAGGCGTGGTTTTTTAGAGAGAAAATATCGCATTCGAGGGCAGTTTCGATATCAGTATCGAATGCGATGTTTTCTCTCTGAAAAAACCACGCCTTTATTACGTTGAATTTCTTTGTTAAAATTGGTAAGTGAGTGGTTAAGTCTCCTGACAACAGAATTGCGATCTCAAAATTCGAGAAAAATGACGAGTAGCTGAAAAAATGGAACCAATTGATGCGATATATCGCATGCCGTTCTGACACAAAATATGGCGTCCATCGAATCACCTTAATTTCATTGCAGCAATTAGTTTAGAGCATTAGCTTGTTTATTCAAATGCTCAAAAATGCGCAGCTTTCCTCAAGCAAATCCACAATATTTCAAAGAAACGAAGCAAAATATTTTTCAGACGGGTGATTTTCCTTTTAAAAGACCCACTTAATGAAAGGAGAGGGGGAGAAAAGTCGTCAAAAATCCGTCTTAAATTTTAAGCCTAGTCACAGCTCTGATCGCCTCAAGACCCACAAAAATCGGGCCTTTTTTACTCAAAGAATCTCCAAATTTCAAACAGAGGCGGTAAAATATTTGTTCCATAGGTACCCATGTTTGGCTTTAATAGACCAGTGCAACGAGAACATACAGAGTCTCTAGCCAT